CAAATTTCAAGGGTGGTCAAAAAATTTCATTTCCCACTTTGCTTGAGTCTTACAGAGACCTACTCTTAAATGCTTTCGTATTTGTTTTTCTAATCTTATAATAATTTTTCTACGAAAATCTGACGCACATTGATAAGTACTAAAACGACAAAGCCTCTAATGCAACGTTCCATAATTATAAGGAAAATGCCTGAGATCACTGCGTGTATCTTTCAGGTTGGCTCAGTATCTTAGAAAAATGATGATAAATAGTTTGAAGTGGTTATTAACCGATGACAGGGTAGCTAATGTTATCCACACATCGGTTTTCCGGTCTAACGCATAGCATTTAAGAATTTTTTTGCTTTGGGTTTGACTTAGTTAACTGAGGTATAGAGAGATACTGGACGAACGAAAGAAAGAAGAAAAGAAAGAAAGAAAGAAAAAAAAAGATGGAATGAACAGAGAAAGAAAGAAAAAAGGAAAGAAGGAAGGAAGAGTTGAGAAAGGAATGAAAGAAAATAGTGTGAAAGAAAGGAAGAAAAAAATGACGAATAAAGAAAGGAAAGAAGGAAGAACGAAAGAAAGAAATAACTTGAAGGAAGGAAGGAAACAAAGATAGTGAGAAAAAAGAATGAAAGAAAGAAGGAATGAATGAATGAAAAAGGGAAAAAGAGAAAGGAGGAAAGACAGAAAAAGAAAAGAAGGAGGCAGAGAAGGGAAGAAGGGAGAAAGAAAAGAATGATGACGAAGCTAGAAATGATTAAATAAAGGAGTAAAACAAACAAAAGTCAGAAAGAAAGATTCAAGAGGGATTTTTTTAACGTTTGCTTTATTTTGATCCAAATTAAGTAACTAATGGCACAAGGTTTTTACTGAGCGACAATCTTAAGATACTGGAAATTTGATATTATATTATTGTCATTGTTTCATGTATCTTCTGACTCACCACAAATGAAAAATCTTCAGAATACAAATAAAAATTAGTGTGAAAACAGGCTGACAATTTAGGAAAACCAAATACCGAACAGCTTGTTACACAAAGCTCCGTCACCGCAAACACTGAAACACATTAAGAGCGAGTCATCCAATACTGCATTAATAAGACTGAACAGGGTAACTATAAAACTGACCTGCTTTTGTCTAACGACGCAGAGTATTTGTAAAGTGCAACAGTTAACACCTTGTCTTTTTTTGCTTGGTACATCTCTTCGTATGATGATGCTCTGGGTTGGCCTGATCTTTATTGGACTTGTCCATATCATGATGGTACAAAGTGCTAGTAAGTTCTTTAGATTTTGTCTCTTGATGTAGACATTGCTTTATTCCTTAGTACTACTTAGTATCTTTTATTAAAAGAAACAAAGTAGTAAAAAAAAGGAAATAGAAAAGAAAAGAGAAAGGGGAGAATGACCGACGCTTAATAATTTTTTAAAAAAGTGAATCTTTCTTAGTAATGCTTAGCATCTTTTATTAAAAGAAGTCGAAATTGGTAGCGCAAGTTTATTCAGCCTTTGTTCAGGCGTATTTATTGACCATAACTTTAGACTATATTATAACAGTAACACGCTGGTTTTCAATACGTTTGTTTTGAACCAAGAAAAACAGAAAAAAATCATCGTTTGTCAATTCATAGAAAAAAAATTTGTTGAAGTTAGTAAACGTATAAGGAAGTTCTGCCGGTAGCACGTTTAACGGAGAGAAGTCGATTGGGGAAAAAAAGTTAAAATGCTGTTGATATGTGATATCAAGATCAATCTTAAATTTCGTCGCTCGAGAAGGGGGTGGGTGGGATATAAAATTGCAGGTTAAGGTTTTCATCATATACCATTTCATTTCCATCCATCTCCATCCATCTCCACTGCCCATCTCCATCCATCTCCATCCATCTCCACTGCCCATCTCCATCCATCTCCACTGCCCATCTCCATCCATCT